GAACCAATCACCAAATCCCCTCTATTTTCTCCTACTAAAAGTGCCTTTCTCCCCATATCTATAGACTGTACCTGCATGATACAGCAGCCCTCCCAGAATGGTTCCCTGCCTCTGATCTTGGCCTATACACCCCCTGCCCTAATCGGTTCTCCAAAACTGCATCCACATGGATTCTCAGGTCCAACCATGACATTTTTCTGCATGACACCTTTTTTGGCTTCCTAAGGCTGCGAGATGAAATCACTGGCCTGGTTCATGGGGCTCTGTAGCCACTGCCCATCCCTTCAGCAACCTCTCTACAACCCTTCCTGTACAAAGGCATGTCCCTTGGACCTTAGATATTTCCGCTCTTTTCAGGCCCTTAAATATATCCTATTCTCACTCACCTCATCCTCTGCCCACAGCCAGAGCCTCTTGAAAACTGAAGCATTCAGTACTTTTAAAATATAAAGAAATCCTCATAGAAGTTTTCAAAAATGGCAGTAGGGGACGGGTGCAGAGGCTCACCTCTGTAATCCCAGCACTTTGGGAGGCCAAGGTAGGTGGATCACTTGAGGCCAGGAGTTCAAGACCAGCCTGACCAACATGGGGAAACCCTGTCTCTACTAAAAATACAGAAACTAGCCAGCTGTGGTGGCACACAACCACAGTCCCAGCTACTCAGGAGGCCAAGGCACGAGAATCACTTGAACCCAGGAGGTGGAGGTTGAAGTGAGCCAAGATCATGCCACTGCACTCCAGCCTGGGTGACAAAGAGAGATTCTGTCTCAAAAAAAAAGGGGGGGGGGCAACAATTTTAAATGTTTGCAACTAACCCACTAATACCATTGGCACAAACACATTTCAAAACAATTTAATTGTGCTGATCAGAAGATCATTAAAGGATTTATAGCGTACAATAATTCATACTACCCTTCCAGACTTAGGTCTAAGTGACTATCCACCCCAATCTGCTTGGGATTGAAGGGACCTTGGTGTTAAAATCAGAAAAGTCCTGGATGAACCAGGACACGCTGGTCATCCTAAGTATGGAACAGTAGCTTATAGTCGTATGATGATGACCTTCTTTCAAAACTGTCCGTGTGCCTCTGTGGCTGTCTGACAATTGGAGATAAAAGGCCACCTCTGAGGCATTTGGTGAATGGGAAGCCTGAGCTTTCCAGCCTGCTCCCTGCCGCTACCCGCTTCGCACGCCATGTCAATGAGCTACTCCTGCCCCTCCTTTCAGGCTCATCTTTTCTGGGCCCAGCTCACCCTAGCCCTGGTCTGCTGATTGTTCCTTCCTATGTTCCCTCACATTCTCTATAGACCTCCTTTCTAGCAAAGGTTGCACTGCATTTTGACTTTCTGCTTGCATGTCAGTTTCCTCCTTTAGGTAGAGAGCAACTTAAAGTCCAGATTGACCCATGAACACTCAGTAGGCAATGAGCAAACGGGGCCATTTGCACAGCCCACTGCTTCAGTTCCATGTTGCAATCTTGGGAGATGGACAAGACATTGGGCCCAGAAAATCACGTAGGCTCTCTTGACACCTCCTCTGTGCTAAGTGGGAGGAGGAAAGAGATGGCTGGAGCAAAGCCCCAGCCTCAAGGAATTCCCAACTACTTGGGAAGATAAGGCAGGTGTCGAGACAGGGAAGGAAAATGTTAGCAACACTTGTTTTATGCCAATGAATGATGAGACATCATCTAACTACTATGGCGCAGGGGACCAGAGAGGGACCAAGTGCCTGAGGAAGGCTTCCTGGAATCTGTGGAGGTGGCACAGACAGCACCTGCAGCAGACATATGGAGGCAGATTTCTAAAGAAATGTTTTAGAAGAACCAGAAATACCAAGTCCCAGGAGCGCTTGCTCCAAGAAGCAAGACAAGAAAGCCAAGTCTGGACAGCAGAGAGTTGAGCATCACGGCCTCTAAGGCTCTTGCCAGTTTTTCCAATTTAACCCTTGGCATTGCCAGCAGAAGGGCGCCACAGATGTTGGAACTGACTGAGACATTCAGGGGGCTGTGCTAGAGCTGACCAGGCAGGCCGGAGCATGGGAAAGATGAACCTGGAGAGGCAGGCTGGGGCCTCAGTCCAGGTGTAACAGGCACCCAGGGATCTCGAAGGTAAAACACTGAGGGCTTGGGGACAGGGGAGCAAGTAGCAGAGCATCCCAGGAGTATCCATCTGGCTTGGGACAGCAGAAACAGCTACATGGTGAAGGCATGCCTGTTTGCCCCCTCTGGTTACGTCTCTCCTTGCCCATATTCCCCACATTGGCATTTCAGGGCAACCCCTGAGATGGAGATTGATCCATCCTGTTTCCCCAATGGGCTCCAAGCAATAAGACAAAGCAGTCACCAAAGAGTCCGCTTCATAGCAGGTAAAGCTAAACTGGAAAAGGCACCTTAGATCTGCAGCTGCAATTGGGTTCCCCAATATATTTCCCTGAATTGGGTTTACCCGCCCAAAACTACAGGCTGTCCCTAACAGGGCACAGCACCAGGCAGGGAGATGACAGGAGGAAAACCTGTGCTCACGTGCATGAGGACCAAGAGGAAAGCACTTGGGAGGGGCTGATGGGTCTAACTTCAGACCCTTTTTTCAACATCTTCAATGTTATCAGACCCTAACTTCCCCCAGGGAGGAAGAGGAAGAAGCGAACCAGGAAAGTGTGGCAGCCTTTACGGAGGAAGAAGACTGTAACCCCCCAGCCCCATAGGCAGCAGGTACTGAGTCTTTCAGAGTCCCTAGTGGGTCTTTACAGCTACTGGTGCTCCAGTCTCCAGCCTGGTCCCCCTGTCAGGCCTCTTCTCCTGCACGCGCAGCAGGGTGAGGGAGGAAGGCCCTGTTCCATCTGCACAGACTCTCTGTGGGAATCCAATAGTTAAGTATAATTCAATGACTGGATCCAAACAGAGCATTGTGCTTAATTCCCGCCTTCCCAGTAGCAGTAGTGATCAAAGTCTGTGACTGAGCTCTCCCCGAAAAGATAGAGGACACTAGAGTGCGCCTTGTTACAGGAGCCCCTTAGTCCCCTTGATGAGAAAAGCAGGGAATCATAGTACACAGAACTGGGTTGGAACCGCTGGACCACTACGAGCTTTGAGATGCCGTGTAAGTTGTCCGTCTCCTGTTCTGATCCATGATCAGTACAAAGGGGATAATAGTAACGGTATTGCAAGATGCCGTGGGGATTATGGATAATGTAGAAACAGTACACAGGCGGCACTGAATAAATAGTAGTTTGTTTTTTTTCTAAGCATCCGGTTTATTTTCTAGTCATAGGTTCCTTACTAAATGTTTGCATAACGTGAGATCACATCAGATCAGAAAACATCAAATGGGTTGTATTTTTGACCGAATTAACGTACAAAAGAAATTGCGTTTATATCATGTATCTGAGCTCAAGGGTAGTCCACAGTTCAGCCTCTTCCTTCTATTTTGCTTTCGTCACCTGTTATATAAAATTACCTATAAAATCCTTATAAATCAGACCTGAGTTTTGCCCACAATGTGTAGAATGAAAAAATGCCATTGCTACATGCTATGAAACAATAGCAAGTTTATAGGAGAATTCAAGGTTTGTGTGTACAAAAATTATAAATGCCATTTTCTTTTGTGCTGGGAAAACTGAAGTATAAAACACAAACGGGGCCGGGCGCGGTGGCTCACGCCTGTAATCCCAGCACTGTGGGAGGCCGAGGCGGGTGGGTCACCTGCGGTCAGGAGTTCAAGACCAGCCTGACCAATATGGTGAAACCCTGTCTCTAATAAAAATACAAAATTACTGGCCGGGCGCGGTGGCTCACGCCTGTAATCCCAGCACTGTGGGAGGCCGAGGCGGGTGGATCACGAGGTCAAGAGATCGAGACCACCCTGGTCAACATGGTGAAACCCCGTCTCTACTAAAAATACAAAAAATTAGCTGGGCATGGTGGCGCGTGCCTGTAATCCCAGCTACTCAGGAGGCTGAGGCAGGAGAATTGCCTGAACCCAGGAGGCGGAGGTTGCGGTGAGCCGAGAT